GAGACATAGCCTCAAGCTGTCACCCTGAGTAGAGTGCAGTGGCATCACAGCTCACAGCAACCTCCAACTCCTGGGCTCAAGCGATTCTCCTGCCTCCCCCTCCCTAGTAGCTGGGATTACAGGTGTCTGCCACAACGCCCACTATTGCAACCCTCAGAAAGGCCCCCACCTCCACCCCTGGCAAGGAAGCTACTTTACTACTTACTCTTTTGCTCCGTAGGGCTGACCTTAGCTACTATCACTTCTTAACTTTGCAGAGTGTTCCAGGATTTATGACGTGGCCTTGTTGATCCTGGAAGGCTGTGTGCTCGGACAGGCGTGGAGAATTGGGCATTGTGGGCAGGAGGGCAGGCCCTGAGGAGTTAGGGGTGGGACCCTCTAGTCTTAGAACAGTCTCAGTCTGGCAGGAGCCCTCAACCCAAGTCTCGGACTCTTCAGCACCCAGTGTGAGTGTTTCTTAGTGAGCCCCCAACCCATCCTTGATGCTGAGCTAGACTAGTGGACTGGGGTCTCCTTAATGGAGGGAAGTATGAGTCCCAAGGGGAGATTTTGTCCTGGATCTTTTAATACTAAGCCATCTCTGTCTGCCTTTGCTTGCTGCAAAAGTGAGTCCAGCTTAAGGGGTCATAATGGTTGGGGGCAGTAGGGGTTAGGAAGGAGTTCTCTGTTAGAGGTGAGAAGGGAGTGGAAGAAGCTCTACCCTGGTTGGGTCTAGGTCTGATCTGGACAGCGGCTTCCAAGGTCTGGCCCAGACAGCAGGCTCAAATTGAGTGGAGGAAGTTCCCATGACCCTCAGATTCCCCCAAACCTTGAACTGAGTGACACTGGTTCATCTGGGGGGATCTGGGCCTCTACAGGGACCCTGATATTTTGGGATCAAGATACTGTTGGCCTGAGGCTTGGATCATTCAGAGCCTGGGGGTGGAATGGCTGGCAGACTATGGCCTCATCAAAATTGGTTTCAGGGCATTTCTACTGTTCCTAGTTTAACTTGGGTGAGGAGCAGGAATGTGGTCAGACAGGGTCAGTGGGAGGGCTTCAGCCAATTTGAGCCAAGGGTCCTTTGTCTAGATTATTTGGCCTGAAGGAAGCCTTGATGTAGAGCCTTAAATTGTCAGGTAGCAGGAGGCCTTTCCTGGTGTTTGAGGTCCAGACTTCAGTTTTTCCTTCTGTGGAATGGGAATAATAACCTTTCTACTGGCTTGGTGCCCGCAGCTAAGTGGTTAAGGCACCAGCCACATACATGGAGGCTGGCGGGTTCAAACCTGTCCTGGGCCTGCAACAAAAAAATATCCGAGCGTTGTGGCGGGCGCCTATAGTCCCAGCTACTTGGGAGGTTAAGTAAGAGAATCGCTTAAGCCCAAGAGTTTGAGGTTGAGCGGTGCCTATGGCTCAAAGGAGTAAGGTGCTGGCCCCATATGCCAAGGTGGCGGGTTCAAACCCAGCCCCAGCCAAAAAACTGCAAAAAAAAAAAAAGTTTGAGGTTGAGGTTGCTGTGCGCTGTGACTTCACAGCACTCTACAAAGGGTGAATAGTAAGACTCTGTCTCAAAAAAATAAAATAACCTTTCTACTATTGATCCTTCTCAGTGGTTGTGAGGGTTTTGAGAGTGAGGTAGACCACCAGACCTTCCAGACCTCCCATGTGTAGGCCACTGGGCACCTCTATTCTCTAGGCTCTTCAGGATGTAGACCTACTATATTAGTATGCCAAGGGGATTCCTAAGAGCTGACCTTTCCTGTTTTTTTTTTTGTTGTTGTTGTTGTTTGTTTTTTGCAGTTTTTGGCCAGGGCTGGGTTTGAACCCGCCACCTTCGGCATATGGAGCCGGTGCCTTACTCCTTTGAGCCACAGGCCCCGCCCCTGACCTTTCCTGTTTTTGCTGCGCCTTCTTCTGTATATTGTTTTCCTTTTTTCCCTGTGGAATGAGAATAATAACCCATTCCCTGTGGAATGGGAGGAAAGGGAATGAGCCTTTCTTCCCTTTCTGGTCTGGCTGTTTTGTATACCCTGGAGAGCCAGCTCTGGAAAAGTCCCTACTTTCTCAGGTCCAGGTATCCCACCTGGCCCCAAGTTGTGTCCCTTGCCCTGCTTGGGCCACTCCCTACAGGATGTTCTCTGCGGCCTCCCAGCCCTTGGACCCCGATGGAACTGTGTTCCGGCTCCGCTTCACAGCCATGGTCTGGTGGGTCATCACTTTCCCCGTGTTCGGCTTCTTCTTCTGCATCATCTGGTCCCTGGTGTTCCACTTTGAGTACACGGTGGCCACTGACTGTGGGGTGAGTGCCAAGCCCCTGGGTCAGGGCCAGGTCAGGAGATGGCGATAAGGGTGGAATCAGAGAGTGGAAAGAAGGTTGAAAGTAGGAGAGAGGACAAAATGGGAGGGAGGGCAAGTCCAAGTTAGGGAGACTATAGGGAGAGAGAGACAGAGAGTAGAATTACAGTCCTTTTGGAGTTGGAAGAGGATTATAAAAAGTGCAAGGAGCAGGGGAAGTGGGTAATGGGGGGAAGAAAAGGGATTGGAATGGGCATGACAGATCATGAAAGAGAGAAGGAGGATGAAGAAAGACCAGACTGAAAATGAAGCCAGGATTAGCTGGGAGTTGTGGTGGCTGCCTGTAGTCTCAGCTACTTGGGAGGCTGAGGCATGAGTATGAGCCCAGGAGTTTGAGGTTGCCATGAGCCAGGCTGATGCCACGGTACTCTAGGCTGGGGCAAGAGAGTGAGACTGTCTCCAAAAAGAAAGAAAAAAGAGAAGCCAGGACTGAAAAGGTGAGATGAGACCAGGACATAGGAGATGTAGCAGGTGGCTTTGGTGGCTTTAAGGGAACCGACTATGGAGGATCCTTAGCCCTGATGGGATCCTTGAGCTATGTTGTTTCCACTGATAGCTCCATGCCTCACAACATGTAGCTATTCAGGGCTCTGCTAGCCAGAAATGGATGAACTTCTTGCTTCCTAGACCAGTCCTATGTGCCCTGTGTGGTAGAGGTTCTATGACAGGGAATTGAGTATGGGCTTGTCCTTAGTATCTCCTTCCTATAAGACTTAGTCCTTAGACACAGAAAGCATAATACAGTGAGCTGGAATTCCTATTATGATAAAAGGGAGTATAGGGAATAGGGTTTAGAGGAAGCTGCACTAAACGAGCTTGGACATTGGAGAAGACTTTCTTCTTGGAGGAGAGGACGTTGTTGCTCTAAGGGTGAAGAAAAATCTTTGTGAATGCCAGGCTGATGACTTTGGATTTTAGCCAGAGGGTAGTGGGGAGGTTTGGAAAGATTTTAAACAGCAGAGAGACATGGCCAGATTTGTGCTTTAGAAGATCATTCTGGTCCCTGAATAAAGATCTAAGGACAGGGGCAAGAGTAGGAAGACCAGTGAAGAGGCTAGTACAATAGCTCATGCTACTGGGGAAACCAGAGCTAAGATAGGGACTGTGAGGATAGAGAGGAGGAGATGGAGTCTAGAGAGGAGTAGGAAGTAGGATTGATGGGAATTGGAAGTTTTTTGTCCAGTTGGCAAGGAGCAGGGGACAGTAAACTATATAGAGAAGTTATCTGTAATTTAGTAGGACTTTTAGCAGGGGCTAAATGATTAACCTAATGGTGACATATGAAGTGCTATAGTAGCGGAATTTTTGGAACCCTTCCTTTATAGCATTTGAGTTTCTGATCTGCTGTCCTGTTGGAAAGGGTTCACTTACCCATTTTTTAGTCCCCTTAGCTCTGGGCTTATGGGAAAGTTTGAGGTGAGCTGTGTACCTGGTCTCTGATAGCTCCTGGTGTTGCTTGCTGCTGGCACAACCGGTGAGTGGAGAACTTGTGTGTTAGAGATGGGACTGAGGGTAGGAGTATATGTATCTGAGTGTGTGTGTGTGTGTGTGTACATGTGTGTACATATGATGGAAGAGATAATCCCTGCTCTTAGAATCTTGCCTCTTCCTCTAATGTGAAAGGAGCTTGTGAAGACAAAACCAACAGCCTGTCTCTTTCTTCCTCCTGAGGCCTCCCCCAAACTCTGTATCATCTCTACCTGATACCTGTTCCCAACATGGGTCAGAGTTCAGGGCCCTTGGATGCTTTTGGCTTGCCCAGTCAAGCCGTAAATGCTGGTTCTATCCTCTTAAAGTAGTTGAGATTGGAGAGAAGTTTTCAGAATGAATATGGAGGCAACACTCTCACTGTCCTCACTCAAGGGAACAGAGAGGCAGGAAAATTAAGTAAGGAGGCTTAGAGTTTCCTGAAGAGTTTGTGAAGACATAGTTCCTACTTTCAACTATACGCAGGCCTTCTCATGCTTAAAAAAAAAGGCCATGTACGATAATGTGAAACTCTGTCTCTACAAAAAAACAAAAACAAAAAACCCTTTCCCCCATTAAAAAAAAATGGCCATGTAGTTCACAGCCTCTTTGTAGGCTTTTCAGGGAAATTTATCTTTTGAAAGCTATTACTTACTATACCTACTACATTCCAGACACTGCAGATGCCTTACATACATCATATGTAGAATTCATAATCAGCCTGGAAGGTAACTAGTGCTAATATGCATTTTACCAATGAGGAAGTTGGAGCTCAGAAAGGTAAAGTGACTTGCTCAAGGTCACCCATCCATCTAATAAAGGCCAGAGATGCAGAGTTAGAGTTGCAGGCCTAGAATGCAGAGTTAACTTTGTGCAGCCCCAAAGCCTGCCTGCTGGATCTTTACTGATTACTTACTGATTACACTGAGTTTGGTCACAAGCTATGATATCTCAAGCTCTAGCCTTAAGAGCAGCATCTTTTCCCCAAGAGCTCTGTACTGAGCCTCCTCTGATAGTGATGAGGAGAAGCCATCTCCTTTTTGTGGAGGCTGTGGGGCCCTGGCCCTGGGTAGTCCTGCTCCTGGCTTACCCCTGTCCTGTGAATAGCCTCCAACATTGCTCACCTTTCCAGCAGTCTGGAGACCCGAACAGCATTTTCATTGGAAAAAAGGAAAGGATCTTGCATAACTCTCTCTCTCTCTGAAGACTGATCCCTCAGCTTGGCGCCTGTGGCTCAAGTGCCTAAGGCACCAGCCACATACACCTAAGGTGGCGGGTTTGAATCCAGCCCAGGCCCACCAAACAACAATGATGGCTGCAACCAAAAAATAGCTGGGC